AGAAGCTAAAAATCCGATTAATGAAAAAACGTCTCCAGGTATATTTGCAAGTACACGCTTCCTGATGAGAGAAACCACAGTAAAGGTGAAAGAACCCGACTGAGGCAGGCTGATCCTCTGCCTCTAACTGCGGGGCCACCCACAGAGAGCGTTGTTATCTTGTAATGGAGCATGGCGATTCACAGCAGGGGGCTGACGTGGGACCCCCACAGGAAAAGGACAGGTGAAAGTCATAAACAAATACAGACACAAGGAGAGACGTGGGGGTCTTTAGGTTTGCGATGCTGGTGGTGTCAGCGCTCCGATTCATTGAAAGAAGGATATTTATGTTGTACTGTTGATGCGCTTCCCCTATATCCTTTATATATGAGCAATAACATACAATACAACCTTCATCTTTAGTTCCTTAAAAATAAAACAAACCCAGTTTTTAGATGTAAGCACGAAGGGAACTGAGTGTCATATTCACAGTGTTAAAAATCTCTGCAACCAAGATGCGTCTATGACTCGTTTTCATTCATTTCCTATCATTAGTTATTATTAATCTCTGGCTCTCCTCCTCTGCGTGCCTTATGTCTCCCTTTCCTTCACACCAGCTGTCTTCCTGTTAAAAGTGAGTTTTTCCTTCCCACTGTTGCCAAGTGCAAGAAAGGAAAAATAGATTATCCTGTGCCAAAGAGTGCCAGAAATAGTTAAAAGAAAACTTGAGTTTAATTTAAGGCTTTATAGAACTGAATCTCTGCAATGTGCAAAGGTTTATAAGAGGCAAACACACGAGGAAAGAGGAAAAAGAGATTTTTATGCTAATTGCTACAGAATTTATGTAACCTACAGGTTTATGATTCTACATATATCAGAGGATCACAAAAATGAGGGAGGTGTGGATTAGAACAGCCCAGGTCTGTACAGGTAACAGGTGTGAAAGAAAACGGCGATAACCATGAAACAGATACAGAAGACGACCGTCCAACAGTCTGAGTTTTAACACTAACGCAGCTCCATCACAGGAACTCAGAGAGACACCTTCTGTCAGGGTGTGTGGAGACAAAGACTGAGCACTCAACGCAACAACAGCACCAACAATCACAAAACAAACGACACAAAAGGCAGACACTTCAAATTAAAACAGGAACAAAAACAGTCCCAGATCCTTGGAGGGAACAGAAACTACAACAAATAATAAAAATCATAACACAAAATCAAGACATCAAACCCTCAATGCCTCAGTCAAACCAGCCTTTGCACTCCCACTGTGCTCATGCAAATGTGAACTCTGCATGCTGCAGTCCTCTGTTACTAACAAGTTTATCTGAGAGTTGTTAAGATTATGTCGTGTGCTCTCTGAACACATTTAAATCTAATAACGACGTCCACTGCAGAGCCAGAATCCTGATCTGAAGCTTATCCTGCCTGAAACCATCACACAGCAAATCCTTTAAATGTCCTTAATTTCCATTTGGCCTTATTAGTCGAGCAGCCTCCCTCTATCTCTTCTGCTTTGTGCTGGATCTTCTCTCTCATCATGCACTTACATGCAGTCTTTACAAATTCCAAAAACACTGTGCTGAACATGTGAAGCAACACACACACAATCTGATGAGCCCACATTCACAGGCATGAGAAAGGCACAAAATCCAAGCCACCTCCGTCAGCAGCTACGTTAAGAAGAGATCAGCGTCTCAGATTGGCAAGTGCCAGAAATCGAGAGCTGCAGAGATCAGGGGATCAAATCTACTTCATCTTTAAACATGCCAAAAAGAAACAGAGCAGTACTGTTTTTAACTTTGTAGCTTCAGAAACGCTCGGGTCAGACCTGCTTTCACAGAACTGCATCAGAAGCAGGAAGGAAAAAAGTTTAGTCAAAGTAAAAAGTGCATTTTATGGCGCTCTGGATTCGAGTGCAATCCTCCCTTCCATGTACCGTTGATAAAGTCTGGGTAAAGGTTTATGGAGCCTGAGAAGTGTGTTGTTGTGTGTCACTCACAGGCTGCCATGGTCTCAGAGCAGCTGTTATTGCTGTCATCCAGGCTAAAGAAGGGTGGCACACAGGTGGTGGAGCCCAGGCCCTGAGTCAGGTAGGTGGCTGCTGGGTAGTAGGAGTGCATGCGGTACTGAGACGACACGTTGTGGCTGGGCAGGCGGCCATCGCCATGAGGCATCTGCTTTATGCAAGTAAAACACAAAGACAGGCACTTTTAGATTGAAAACATACAAACACTGCATGCTGTGGATAAACAGCAAAGCTCCAGAAAGTGGAGGCCTGGAGGTCCTCTTTAATCCACCAAAGATCTGAATTAAGGTCAGTCTTCATATTTAGGAGCTGACCCATGGTTGAAGGTGTAGTATGAGGATTAAATAGTTCTTGATAAAAGTTCATGTTGGGGTCCCCGCTGAGCAGAAACAAAACCATCATATGACAAGATGACGACAGAAACAACACGAGACTAGAAGCAAAATGTTTTAATTATCGGATATTAAATATATATGTTTTGCCTCCAGACAAACAAAACCTAAACAGATCTGTAACATTTGTTGTGTGCAGTTATTTATCTGCTTGTTTACTCTTGGATCAGCTGGTTGTTGGTTCCAAACATGTTTGTTGCTATTGGGGAAGTTGCAGAGCGCCCTCTGGTGGACAAACTATACAACATCACCCATAACAGAGTTGAAGGGTGTTTCTGTCGCTTCTTTTTAATTGTTTGTTATAAATGCAATAATGACAGATTAGCAGACAGCTAAAATTAACATCAGTCTACATTTGGTTTTGCTCACGACAAAAATGTCCTGATCTTAAATGCTCACACTGAAATCTTAGCTGCACACAAGGGGATTTCTTTCTGAGGTGTTTGAATAGTTTCCGTCTGAGCTGATATCTTGGTAGCTACATGATGAATTAAAAAACTGAGCTTAAAGACATGCTGATAAAAAGCTGGAGATTTTCATGGGAACTGTTCAAAAGAACAAAGAACTGTTCTGGCTTTAAAAAGTCTTTCCTGTGACTTTTGCTCTGTGAGTCAAACACCAGCCGTTGGTTCAACAGAGGCTATACGCCTTACTGGGGTCACATGATCTTAAGATCTGCACTTTAAATAAAGGTTTTATATAAAATACAGTTTATTTCCTGCAGCTCTGTGAGGTTACAGTGGTTTACACTGGCTTTATGACTTACATCAGAACATCAGAGCCCGCTAACACCGCCACTGGATATATTTATAATACAATATAAACGCCGCTGTTGTGTGAGTCCACTCTCAGATTCTGACTGTAAAATCCTTCATCTCATACATCAGATTTTCACAGGCAACACTTTAACAACTCGGAGTGACAGAAAGAAATACAGCCGTAAAATAATATATGACAGAAAATTAGCAGTGTGTGATTTCACAGGCCGCGGCTTGTTCTCAAAATGGGCAGCAACACCCAGAGCTGGCTTTCCTCAGTCCTCTGAAAACTTTAAAACGAGCTGTCTACTCAGCAGCAAGCCCGCCTCGCTGAGGGTTTTCAATTTCATTTTTATGGAATTTGATTTCTGTCAGGCTGTAATACGTCACCCGTATTGTCCACACCATCGGTTCTGCGACAGCTTTATAAACTGTTATTTAAGCTACACTCGGCTCCTGTATTAGGCCGTGAAAAATACAATACAGATTGGAACTGGAGTCTTGAAAGTGCACCGCGCTGATGGTTAAGCGGGACGCACGGAGCACCAAACAAAACTGGCAAAGTTGCTCGCCGAGGCTGAGTTTTTCCATACGTTTACATCCAGAGGCGGCAAGCACATCCCCGGGTTCAGCACGATGCCACAGTGTGTAGCTAACTGTCCACATCATCTGACCTGTCATCAAGTCAGGTGATAGTTTGTGCCACTTTGTAAAAAGCAGGACTTTAAATTAGCTCAGTGTTGGTGTTCTCGCACAAAGAGACAAATGGTGTTCAAACATATTTCCCCCACAGATGATGAATAAACCTTCGACAGCAGCTGGATCCACCAGCCACCAATCAGGCTTTCACAAAGCTGTGGGGGGTTATGGAGCGATAAATGGGAAGCTGAAGCTGGAAGCAACACCAACGAAGAAGTAAAGTCAGGAGAAATGATCACAAACAGGTTCAAAATGTGTCGGTTAAAATAATGAAAGCAGCTCAAAACACCCAGATGACAGCTGCCTGGGATGTCCTTCAGACACGCGACCATAATCAGGCTGGTTATTCACACCGACCACGTGGTTATGCCCAGAGGAATCTGAATACCACTGCTTTATCAGATTATTTCCAGTTTACTGTGTTTTTCTGTGAACAGTGTAGGTTTTCATTCCAAATGTTTATGAGTATGTGCTATAAATAAACTGTGTGTGTCCTCGTCAGTCCAAGTGCAGCTTCACCCTAACACGCTCACCTAAAGCATCAAACTTTGGAAACAGAAACAAAAACATGTCCTTCAGTGATAAGAGTTGAATGAAGTCACACAGTCAAGCTTAACTTTAATTCCAGGCTGATCAGCTGATCGCAGTGCCAGCTGATACCCTTCTACTATCTTACTGATGAATCTAATAAAGTCTCCTATTAACCTGCAGTAACGTCTCCACGGCTGCCTTCAGTCATGCTGGTTTGCAGCCCGCTATCATTCTCACTGGTGCTCGCTCAGGTCTGTGCAGAGGTCGCGCTGCTGTTTCTGAATCTTTTCCACATGCACGCATGAAACTTTTTTTTTTTTTGGCAGTAATTTAACCCGTTATTGTACTAAATTCAGTAACGCCGTTACAGGTACAAATGTGCTGCTGTTTGCATTGCAAATCTTTAATGATCTGCATGAAGGAAGAGCAGGAAAAATCAAAGGCGCCTTTTTTTCTGCACACTTGTGCCTGAATCAGCCGACTCCAGTTCAAGTGGAGGGAAGGAAGCTGGATAGTGTAGTGGTAAGACTACACACCTTCGGAACGGGAGTCACAAGCTTGATTCCCACCCGGTCTCCAGTAAGGGTCCTGGCTAGACCCCCCACGCAAAAATACAAAACCCCAACCCCCGCAGCTATGTCTGCAGCCTGTCTGCAGCTTGGACACAAGAATTTCACTACACGTTGTACTCTGTATAATTGTCCATGTGACAAATAAAGGTTGTTTGTTTGTTAAAGGAAAGGGGGCATGGTTCTCAAAGCGTGGTCTGCAGGCCTGTAAGCGAATGAAGAAACTGCTGCTCAGTTTTTACTGCAAAGCGCAGTTTAACATCAAAGCAGCATTTCTTTAAAATATTACGAGTTCTGTGGTCAAGATTAAAGTACAACAAGGGCCACTGCTACAAACTGGACGTGCACATGCAAATGCGTCTCAATATCAGCCTGTCGGGTCAGGCGTGCAGCATCGGCTCTCCTGTGGTCCTGCTTCAGCATGTGTGCAGTTTTTGCCTTATTTGCACTCAGTCTGGAGAACACCTGGATGTCCACCAACCAAAGCGATTTAAACAAGGCACATGTCAGACAGCACTGATATTAATATTGAAATAAATGGCAAGTGAAGAGAAAGCCACCATTATCACCATGACATCAGTAACAACTTGTGCCAAACGTGTAAGACGGCCGTACGCTGCGGTTTGCTCACAGACCTACAGTGCCTCCTCTGAACCGCCCAGATAAGTTGCTGAGTCCTTAAGGAGGGGCTTCCTTACCTCCCTGAGAGGGCCTGTCTTCTTATCTGGCACCATCTCCTGTCTGGAAGCTCTACACTACCCTTATATTATCACCATCCACCTGCATGACAGCCAAGCATCACTGAGTGCACAGGAGAAAAGGAGGAGGCAGATGGCCTTCCACTGATAAAGACCACATTGTTTCCTCTGCTGTTACAGTGGGAAGAGCTCAGGACCTGCGCATCACATTATTATGACGCATTAGCTTAATGATTTTAAGGGAAATGCATATTTCACCTCAGTCATGAGTGAGGCGTTAAGAAGTGCCAACAAAACATAAAAACAGAACAGACGAAAACAAACTGGCAAAAAGCAGGTGCAGAAATATAAAAAATAACAAAGTTTGACTTGAAACTTGTTGTTCGTAACTTTCATGGATAGAATTTCCAGGCGCAGCAAAGTGTGGCCGGCGGTTTCTGGCTTGGTGGCCTCGGGATCACCTCTGTGCCTCTGGGCTTTATCAGGAAGTGACCTCTCGCTTAAACTGGAGGGTTTGCAGCCAAGCGTGAAGCAGCTGGCGTGAAACAGCTGGCAAGAAAAGTCAGAGGCCACAAAATGGTGTGTTAGGGAGGAGTTCAAGTATCTCTGGGTCGGGTTCACAAGTGGGTGGAGAGAGGAGCAGGAGTCAGCGGGGATCTGAACGCTGTACCAATCTTTACGGTGAAGAGAGCTGAGCGTGAAATCAAAGCTGTCGATTTACTGCTCCGTCTACGTTCCCGCCCTCGCCTACGATCGTGGATGCAAGCAGTGGTACCAAACAAACATTTGTGGTTGTTTGTTTCTTTTGTACACTTGAACACTACAGTGACCCTCAATGAGACGACAGTGCCAGCAGGGGCCCACAGCTCATTTAAGTGTGAACCCTGTTCCATCCAGCAGTAGTTGTAGTTCGTCGCCTGAGAGGGACTCAGAGTAAAGCTGCTACTCTTCTATAAGGACACCAGATGAGGTGGTTTGGGCATCGTAGGAATCATAGTCCTACCAGTAGGAGACCACAGGAAGACCTCGGGCACACTGGTCAGATTATGTTTCTCAGCCAGCTTGGTGACACCTCAGCGCTCGAGGAGGTCCCTGCTGAGACTGCTGCCTCTCAGATCAGCAGCAGAATATGGATGCATGGCTGAAAACCAGTGTTTAAATCAAAAAATGTATATGAGCCGCCAAGATTATTCTGACCGTGAGCCCACGACTACAGCAACAAGGTGAACTGTGCAGATTTTTCTCCTGTTACACACTTTGTCAGGAGTTTCCTGCCTCACAGTGAAGAAAACCATTTATTTCTTAGTTCTGGAAGTTTCATAGTAGATCCATCCACAGTTAATGATGATTCGCCTTTGCCATCACCTCTGTCAGCATCAACAGATTTATAGATGTGCATAGTGTCATTTATGCACTCACAATGAGATGTTGTATTTATAAAGGGACACCTTGAGAAAAACCCCAACGAATGAAAAGTTAAAGGCTGTTGGGCTTGCATTGACTCGGGCGTGCTCTCTGCATCGTGCAGAAACAGGACAGCGATAACTGCTTTGCATCAAATATGGAGACAAAATCTAAAGTGAGCAACTCAAGGACTCGCTTCAGTTTGGGATACTAAAATCTGAATGCAGCTCACTGAACTGGAGGTTTAGGACGGGTAAAGGAGACACACAACAGTTTCCTTCTTTCTTTCTCTTTAACCAAATGTTAAAATCAGGCAATGAACTATTTCATCCCACCTTTCTACTTACAGATATTATTTATTGAGTGTTTGCTGCTCTAAAACTCATCTTCATTAAATCAGCTCCTCGTGCAAATACAAAAAAATCTGCCTCTGATATTGAATAACCACAGCACGTAGCCCTCTCAACCTGACAACTTCACTGAAAATATCATAAATCACAAAAGCGGATGGCCAAATTATGCTAAAGAGCGCTAACTGATTAGCATTAATGTGCTGGCTTTCTCCCTCGGGCGCTGAGGCATAGCGGTGTGTTCCTCTGCCGACAGACAATACCATTAACCTTTGCAATTCAGGCTCTGCTGTGCGCGGGCAGGATCGCGGAGGCAGTGACCCCAAAAGTAGACGTTGCTACTGGGGCAACTGAGAGAGAAGGAGGGGGCGGAGAGAGGGGTACAAATGTTCTTCATAAAAACACAAACGCAGGAGAGTTATAGATCTAATCTGCTCCATGCATAAGCTTACTGTGTGTGTGTGTGTGTGTGTGTGTGTGTGTGTGTGTGTGTGTCCTGCTCTCTCTTTTACCATCAGCGCTGACTTTTTTCAATTGAATTGTGACCTGGGTGTAACCACGTATACGGTTATCTGAGCACAGGACACACTGATGCATCACTGACGGAGCTCGGTTACATTTCCTGAACACAGACGTCGAACCTTCTCCATCAGGACACGTTCGAGTTCCTCATCAGTCTCATACATGAACACTGGCCCTCATTTAGTCCTTTAAACTGTTCTGACAGACATCGTTCATCAGGCGGCTTCTGTTAGAAACCAGCTGGGGCTGTTTTGAAATGTAATGTGATTACAATAAGCAAACATACAGCAACATCAGAGCTTTTATTTCTATTTTGTTCTGAAATCTGTTCACTTTTCTTCACTTTCCACAGCAGGTTTGCTTGTTTTGGTTTACTCGTTAAGAGCTTTGGGTTCAGCTTTGTTAGTTTCAGTGTTGGGTTCAACGTTTTTAGTCGTGGAGTAAATTTCCACTAATCAACCGAACAACTACTTTCCTCAGTTTATATACACCAACTTATTGGAAGTTACACGTCTACTTTTTAATGCACAGGTACGATATTTAAACTACTTTCATATCCTGCTCTGTTTGCACACTACAGCTGGCTTTGACATTTATCTGTACTTTAATTTTAGTAACTGCACAGAACTGTTTTGGTAACGATCGTCCATGATGGAAATATGTAAAATTTTGTGTGTCTCCATCCTGTGTCCTCTTCTGCTTGTATAGGTGTTTTTTTGCTGCCTTTAGAACCAAATTTCCCCTGCGGGACAATTAAAGGATTATTCTATTCTATTCTATTCTATTCTATTCTATTCTATACATAAGTTCAGAGCAGTTATCTGGATACAAACACTTTGTGAATGCAGTTCATTTGCAGCCATCCAAAGTCTAGAGCTGATTTTTATTGTTCACAGCTGGTTTCTGTTTTTAGACACCTTTAGTTCACTAAAGTATCCTTGAAGATGATTTAACACTGGATTGATTTTCATCGCTTTTCTTTTGACCGAGCAGTAAACATCCAGTATAATCAGCCCCAAATTCATTTCAGTGATGTAAACAGAGGTCTGTACTTGAGCGCAGTAAGAGCGAGGCAGCGGACCTGGAGTCAGAAACTGGACGCATCTTTATCCTCTGGGTTTGCAGGACTGTAACATACTATGAAGTGACCACTAAGGCAAGCACGTCAAACTCATTTTATATGGTAGGCTCACTCTGAGCTTCAGGGGGCGGGACCAGTGAAACTCTGCGCTCTGTCAGTGTAAAGAAGTCTAACTGCACCCTCAGAAACCCCAAAGTGAGAAAGTTCAACTTTAGCTCATCTCAGATACATGACGGTATAATCAACACGACTCTTTGGGCTTAAACTGTAAGAAATTAATTCTTGTGAATTAAAAAAGAAACATTTTCATATTAAACACTGAAAAAACGAAACTTTTCTGTCATGTAAACGTATGTTTAACCGAGTTACTGTGGTGTAGTATGAATGATCATGGGGTAGGGCTGTTCGATATAACGATATATAAACGTCTGTTTCTGTGCAAATATTTTTTCATTTTGATGGTCACTGTAGTGGCTATATTAATTTCTTAAAGTTCTCTCTTTCTCTTATATTTAATATAACCACACTACAGATGGACAAGCGCCTGTTTTTATGTGTTGTCGTTAGCAACAGAGACGGTAACACCATCGCGTGTCCGCTTGTTTATGTTGCACATAAACCTTTCAGAATAAAGCTCAAGATCCTGTTGAGCTGGAAACATTTCAGCAACCCGAGATTGACAGAATTTACAGAAAATGTTAAATTTTTGTGATTTATCTCGTTATCGGACGATAGATGTCTTATATCGGGATATGAGATTTTGGTCATACAGCCCTATCATGGGGGAGGTCTTTATTAATAAGAAGCGCTGTAAAACATCCATTGGGTCAGACTGGAGTCAGCGGTGGCCTGATTCTGGGCCCCGGGCCTTATGTCTGACACCTCTGCATCAAGGTGTCTTGATGTTCAGACTCAAACATCCAGGTAAGTAAATCCCAAAAGATTGATTCTGTTCATCTGTTTCATCATCATCCAAGTGACTTCTTCAGTCTGAGCTGACTTGATCAGTGGTTGTTGATCAATATTCATGATGATTTGCATATTAATGATCAATGAACTGACCTCCCAGCCCATTGTTCCTTCAGTGTTCTGGTTTCAGTCATTATGCAAATGTCCTGTTTATAAGGTTGAAACCTGCAGTCAGCTGAGACTGAAGACGTCGCCTGGATGATGATGATGATGTAAACATGAAGATGAACAGAATCGACCTTTTGGCCTCTGCATTGGGGAAAAACTACCTGAGTTTTGAGCACTGAAGATGCCTCTCGGATGACGGGTGAAAGATCCTAATGATCAAAATATTCCAGCTGTTTTCAGTTCAAGCACTTAAAACTGCCATGACCTGGAGGACTGAGAAGCTGCAGACCTACTGACAGAGTGAAGACACCCCAGAGGATTAAATGCAAAGCAACTTCAGATTTAGGCTTTTCTGTTCATGTAGTCCAAAGTAACTGGCAAATAAAAGCAGTGTAGCCTGCACACTGACTGAGTGAAGCAGACCTGTGAGATCTCTTTATAGCCACAAACCCAACAAGAGGCTGGAATTTAGACATTAGAATATCAGTTTAACATAATCAAAACTGTGAGTTACAAGGATTTCTGGGCTGTGAGTGTCTACATAATAACAAATCACTGCCAATCTAACAAACACTCATTTAAAATGAGGATCATTTAACACCAGTTTCACACTGGTTTAACACCAGTGATTGTCTGAGAGAAACGCGACACTCTCGTGATAAGTTGGCGTGAAAGCGAAGCCTTTCCCGACTGAAGCGCCGTAAAGCCGCTTACCTCCCGTTTCTGTGGCATGAATTTCTTCCATGCTGCTTTACAGGCTTTGCTGCTACGCGAACAATAAACTATGTGCAGACCTGTTTCTAAACATGAAGAACATTCCAACACAAAAGCGGTTCTTTTATATTTGAAGCCACAACAGTTAATCCCCTGTAGCGGGCCAGGTTTGATGTAACTGGGTTAAAGTAATACGATTATGAATTGTAGCTTGACGCACACGGACAGATTTGTCCTGCCGAGCTCACCCAGCTGTTTAAAATTCCTGTCAAATCAACGTATCCAACAAGCAGGACCAACGCTCACGCCTTCATTAGCTCCTGATCACACTGACTGTGGCTCACCTGGTACTGCGGGTAGTTGTAAAGGTTTCCATAGTAGGTGGGGTAGCGCGAAGGCTGGTAGAAATTGTAATAGGGGGTTTCCAGCAGGAGGTCAGACGGTCCCTCGGTATGAGCCCTGGCAGCGGCTGATGGGCTGGGGGACGATGCTGAGCGGGTCCCTGGACACAAAAACAAACAAATCACGATGAGACCGCGAGGATGAAGAGTAAAGTGTGTGGCTGGTTGTTTCAGCACTGTCAGGTAATTTAACATATGATGTTCAGGATGTTTTCAAACGCTCGTGTTTGTGTTTTGTTGCAGTTTTAACAAGGAAACAAGTCTCGTTACGCCCGTCTCACATTTTACTGATGCTAAAATGTAACAATTAACTTCTCTCAGCATTTAAGTTACACTTGTTCAGATCATTAAAGGAGACAGAAAGAGTTCATTTTGAAACATGCTGCCCAACAGCTCCATCTTCAGGTGACAGCTGTACTTGGTGTCAAACATACAATTGTCATTTTTCAGGATGAAGATGACCATTAAGTCATCATTACTCACTCTCGGTTGTACGTTTCTTATCAGCAAGGACACATTCTTCCCAGGCAGACCCTGATCTTTGCACAGGGAAGACACTGTGCACACTGGAGCCAAACATGATCACATTTACTGTCCCAACTCCTGCTCCACACAGTGCTCCACTCCTTTTTATACCTCAATCTTCATCTCTACCCCCCCGTTCCCTCAAAATAAAAGGAACACACATACAAACATACAAAGTGCAAGATAAGAGCAGCCTTGATCCAAAATCACATTCAAGCGCTATCAGCGAAACACTCTTCTGTGTCAGCTTCCACGCAACCTGGAAGAAAAACTCAAGGACATATTTTCAAGTTTCCAGTGTCCTTTGTTATCACAGAGTCTCTTGTTCTCGTCTAGAAACGTGTTCAGTCCACAGGATGTTGTTCAGCCTTGGATTAGCAATAACACCAATTAACATTTTAAAAAAGCAACAACATTAATTCACTGAGGGGTAACTGGTTTATCTAGACAGGCACACAACAGAGAAGGAGGGAGTGCAGGCAGGTGGATGCTTCTCAGACCAGCACATGAACAAAGTGACTTGCAGCTGAAGTGCAGGCAGTAACACTGACCTGTGTCCAGACCTCACAGGTGAAAAGGTGTCTTTGAGAGAATTAACTGGAATTATTTCAGACACTTTTGACACGTTAATAGCATTGTTTTTGTTTTTGTTTTTGTTTAATAACTAAAAACACTGGAGATCTCTAATAATAAGATTCATAACACAACAAAATCTGACGAGGTCCATGTAACACGAGGTTACCTGTGACAGCAGAGGTGGGGTGGCTGGTAGGTGTCGGGGACCGTCCCTCCACAGAGAACAGGCAGTCTGCTCCAACTTCATTCTTGACCATCATCTCAGAACCGGACAGAGACACTGGACTACACATCCCAAGCTCTTCTTCTTGGGCCTGCTGCCTCCTCAGGGCAACCTGGAAGGGAGGAGAGGTTTGATAAGGAACCGCGAGCATGAAACAAACATTGCCCTTATCTGCTGACTTCCCAGAACAGATTTAAACAGAGGCTCGTCTGAAAATTGTAATTACACCTGATTAGACAATAATAAGATTGTTTGTGTGCAGATAAACTGTTGATATCGCCATAAAACAAGAGATATTGAAAACACGCTCCTGGCTGCTGAGCGAGATGAAACCAGCAGCTCTTTGTTGTTTATAATTCTTCAAAAACTGTTTAACAACCGACTGGAAAAATTTATAGATAAACATAAACTACTCACTGAGAGTCAGTACGGATTCAGATCAAGCAGATCAACATCATCGGCACTATTAGATTCAATAGAATACATCACAAATTCCATAGACAAAAAGCAATATGTGGCTGGGTTATTCATAGACTTGACAAAGGCATTTGACACTATAGATCATGATATATTAATAAGAAAACTGGAACGTTATGGTGTCAGAGGGGGTTTTAGATTGGGTCCGGAGTTATTTAAGTGACAGGAAGCAGTTTGTGAAAATAAATGGTGGTTGCTCCTTATGTATGGACATTGCTTGTGGTGTACCCCAAGGGTCAGTTTTGGGTCCAAAATTCTTCAACTTGTACATTAACGACATCTGTAAAGTGTCCAAAGTATTAAAAATGGTTCTCTTTGCTGACGATACAAACATTTTTTGCTCTGGTGATGATCTGCAGAATTTATTGGAGGATATGACTAATGAAATAAGTAAAGTGAAGTTCTGGCTTGATAAAAACAAATTATCATTAAATTTGAATAAATCTAAACTTATGTTATTTGGAAATAGTAGTTTAAATACAAATGCAAAGATTCAAATAAATGGTGTTGATATTGAAAGAGTCAGTGAAAATAAATTTCTGGGGGTAATAATAGATGAAAAACTTAACTGGAGAGCTCACGTAAGATATATTCATTCCAAAGTATCACGAAGCATTGCAGTACTAAACAAGGCAAAACAGGTATTCGACAGAACATCACTTCATATTCTCTACTGTTCACTGGTTTCACCATACTTAAGCTATTGTGCAGAGGTCTGGGGCAATAACTATAAAACCACATTACATTCACTTTTTACTCTTCAAAAAAAGCAATTCGAATCATCCACAATGCAGGTTATAGGGAACATACAAACTCACTATTTTTGCAGTCTGAAATATTGAAAATTGACGATCTAGTGAAATTCCAAACAGCACAAATTCTATTCAAAGCAAAAAATAAAGAACTGCCAGGAAATATTCAGAGTATGTTTGTTTTGAAAGAAGGAAGTTATAATTTAAGGGTTTTTGTAACTTCAAAACAGGGAAGGTCCGTACTACAAGAAAAGGCTTTTGTGTTTCTGTTCATGGAGTGAAACTGTGGAACAAACTGAATATGGAATTAAAGCAACGTCCAAACACAAAACAGTTCAAAAAGAGTTATAAAAATATGATCTTGAAATTATGTGAATGTCTCTATTAAAAGATGTACAGGATATAGTATATTAGAAATCTGTTCACTATTTTTATTACAAATTATATCAGTAAGGAAGCTGACTAAATATTGAATGATAATTTATGGCAAAGGGGTGGGATCAAATAAGTGTGTACTTCTTCCCTTTCAACGTGTAAATGAATCAGAATGGTAGCAATATTGAAATGTACTGATTTTTGTATAGTATTTTTTTCTCTCTCTTATTTTCTTTTCTAAGTGTACGTGTATATTGTTTACATGTTTGAAATAAATTAACAAACAATCAATGACTGGTGTAATCAATCAGGCCATCGGCTCAGCTTTCTGTAAACTGACAGCTCTGTGCATCGATGTATCTCAGGGTCAAGAGTAAAACATGATGTTTTACCCAGTTAAAAAGACATTTTAATTCTTTATCTGCTCATTTTGTTAGTATCAGTTCACCGTAAGAGTCACTTTCAAGCAGAAATTCCAAATAACTTATTTAAACAGTTTTCACACACCTGACCGCGCTAGACCAAATTATTCATCTCTTCTTTAGAAAATGAGGAAATTATCCAGCACTACTGACTTTAAAAGCCACTGATTTCTAAATTTTGCTGCGTTTCCTGCTAAAAAAAAGTTTTCAATAGGATTAAATACAGTCTATTTAAAAAAGACAATAAACTTCAGTTATTAAAGTGTTCTTTACAGGATAGATCATTAAAAGTGAGAGCAGAGACTATGTTCTTTAATATAAATCTCATGTTAACTGTACTATTATTCTTTGCTTGTTCTGTAATATAAAACTCAATAAACAATGTTTAAAAAAAGTGAGAGCAGAATCAACAACATGGATTTAAAGAAGCTCAAAGAAAAAACAGTAGATATCAATGTGGGGAAATACTGGAAGAACCAACAAAAATATTCTTTGCAAGAAAAAAAACATGTGGTTATTTTTAGTAACTTAATACATTTAAAATGTTATTTTACTCTTAAATTGTCACTTTAAATTACAAAGTTACAAATGAATTCACTTTGCTTTTTGTAAGTATCTTATAAATGTGAGCAGCTGCTGGAACATTTTAACCCTGAACTTTAGCTCCGTGCGGCAGCTAACTGTTAGCTCTGTACGAACTTGGCTAGCTGCTTTCTGGGTGGTTATTACTAATGAACAGACTCACCCGCAGCAAACAGGGTTTAAAAGTCCACAGACATAAATAGAAAGTCCCAAACAGCCTGTGTGGCTGTGTGTGGTCACAAAACCTTTGGCTTGGTGTTAAAAAGCAGTTTTGTTCTTAGCTGCAGCTAGCCGCGCTAACGGGCGCCTAAACTGAGTTACCTGGGCCGCCATGACTCTCTGTCTCTCCGCGATCAGTTTGCATTTGGGACACTGTCAGTCCCTCCAGTTGCAAAAGCGCTTGTGTCCCTTCAGTGGAGACACGTATCCGTGATTTCTACAGCGGGAGCACTTGGGCATCCTGGGGGATTTCTTGGCTTTGGGGGACATTGGTCCGCTGCAATCCGGTACCTGCTTACTCTGTTTGTCCTGGCTCATGGGTCCTGGCAATAAGGAGTGCTGATAACTGTTGGACCTGCCCAGAGAAGACGTGTGCACACGGACAGGTCTGCTGCTGAGCCCAAGCAGAGGCTGGCTGATAAGATATGCACTGGTGCCAGGCTGGAGGCTGTAAGGTCCCTGTCCCTCCACACCCTGCTTTTTGGTTTTTTTCCGGAAGGCCTGGGATCCAGTGGGAGGAAACAATGCGGGGGAGAGAGCTGCAAGTACAGAAGCATCATTCTGCAGGCCTCCCGTTTTTCTCTCTGCAGTCACGAGTTAAAAATATTGACTCAAAAACACAATTTAAAATTCAATACAATTCTTCTTATGAGGTGCAGGGACCAGAAAAGTGTCCTCAGAGGCCACCTGATGGCTTTGCAGAGTGAAAAGAGGCACTCTTTGGACTTTAACTCAGTCTGTGCCAGCTTTGCAGTCTGAAGGACCAACGCGTGGGCCAAGTAGGTAACAGAATATAACCATGACTCTGTGTTATAATCTGAAGATTTAACTTAACTACGGTTCATGCCAATTATCCCCCAAATTAAATACAGGAAATTGTTCTGCCTGTCAAATTAAAATAACTATTACTATCAGTGTAATATTCTTTATAGTATCTTCCCACTGAAACATATTTATTGCAGTGTTTTTCCCACCTTGGCTGCCGGTGAATTAATTAATTGCTCAGCTTGACTGAGCTGAAACTGAGCTGACCTCCGCACCGTCAGTCAGCCCGGTGGATTTATAGACAGGGAGTGAGGTGAAGCTCAGAGGCAGCCAATTAAAATCCTTACAGCCAAACGGAGGGGGGATAAAACAAAGTTGCCAATTAAAAAGCAGCCCCGAATCACTGAGTCAAAATAAATAGCTGCTACACTTCACTGGCTCAGGTCCTAAAGTAACTGAAAGCAGGGCTGCAACACTGCGTTTAATTGCCTCTAAAGGTTATAATGACAGATTATAATGCAGTGATAAAGTCTGCAGTTTAATGCAGGTAACATCTCCATTAGTCTGAATCCAGTCCAAGCAGGCCTGTAAAACACAGCAGACCAACATGGAAAACGTATGTGCCTATCATCCACCGCTCTATAATAAATATGAATAAATGCTGCCTCTCAGCAGCTCAGAGAGAGACACTTATTTTGAAATGATCATCAGTGTAAAATGAACAGTAGAGCCAATAAAAGCCAACTATGTAATCCAGCCCCCACAATGATTTATGCTTTAAACTGAGTATACGATGCAACAAGAAGTAGGTATGAAGTTGGCTTTGAATACCTGTAGTTAGGTCTCAGACCTTCCTTTTGCAATGGTCTGTGTCCTAATAGAGGTTTGTTTGCATTGATGAAGCAGTGAAATGAAATGATGAATGGCCACGCAAATAACCTTGTCTTTATATATTTAATTTACCTGGGTGGACACAAAGAGATGTGAAAACCAATTTGTGCCACTGAAAGTGAAAGCATATAAAGAGTTTCTTTTATTTTCGACACTTTAGTCTCTGAAATGTTTCTGAAGCTTTCCGTGTGTAGCTGCTGCTTCACTGTTATTATGTATTATATTGATATTTTCCCCCGTTGATACCTTTTAGCTACAACCATGAACTCAGTCTTCAGTTTCTTTTGTACTCTCTATGCGCCAGTGTCTTTTTAATTATTTTCTTTTCATTCTTATTTTCTATGCATTTAGTTCTATTTGTGATTGCACATTAACTGAATTTTAAGGGAAAATGATGGCATATTAAACAGAATGGAAAGATATATTAGCTCTGCCACATTTAAAAGGCATGAAAGTCTTTTATCCCAGCACGGTATGTATTAAATTGTTATCAAGAAAGTTTAAATCTCAGTCAATTCACAATCACGAATCAGCTTAAAGAAGAAGTCGTCACCGTTTCCGAGAAGTCACTGAAGGCAGCATTGCCTAGCAACGGTGCCGTTTAGTTTCTCGCGCCGGGCTATCCGCGGAAACTTTAGCTAACTTTGTGTGAGACACAATGCCCAGAAAGACGGAGAGAAAAGGCAGCGACAAACGAGATGGAAACAAGAAGACACCGAAAAAGGAAAACTCCGAGTTTCCTGCAGAGAAAAGCGGGTCTGCGGACAAAGAGAAGGACCTCTACCTGACACAGATAGCGTATTTAACCGACGAGTTGGAGCGGTGAGCCGTTTAAGTTTACCGTAATGTTTAGAGTGATTGTGTGTGCAGTACAAAGCACTTTGTAATGATATCTTAAATATGTTTTATTTGCTAACTCGATCTAATGTTGCATTAGCATAATGGAGGCTGAATTTACAAAGCTTCATTGAAATGAACTGATTTTACAAGCTACAGTGAGACCTTCATTCTTTGGTGCGCTCAGATAATAACTAAGGACAATAATGTTTTATTTTTCATCCCAAAATACCCCATCTTGGGTGGGGATGGAAGCAAATTCTCTTAAAATGCCATTAAACTTGTACTTATACTCTGCACAGCCAAAACAATTAAAGAAAGAAACAAATAATCCCATAGTCCGAAATATGATTGAAGTTTGGTTTACAATAAAAGAAATGATGAATATTAAGAATAATCTCTCTCAGTTTAGTCCTATTTGGGAAATGCTTTATTTGCACCAGGAAATTTGGACGCAGGGTTCCAGGGTTGGGCAGAAAAAGGTGTTAGGAAAGTGGGTGATCTTTTTTGTGATGGAATAATGGTTTCATTTGAGGATTTAGTTTCAAAAGTATTTACAGATTAGAAGCTTCATTTCTTCCATGCAAAATCAGTTTCTCAGCCTTCCCCAGTTAAGTAAGTTAGAGGAGTTAATGGTGGGAAAAGGTGGTAATAAAGGCTTAATTTAATTTCAACATTCTATAACTGGATTGTCTCTGCCTCTCCAGAAACATCAGTTTCTAAGTTAGAAGCTTGGAGAAAGGACCTAAATATTAATATTTCTGAGGAGACATGGAAGTCAATTTGCTTAAAATCACAAAAACAATCGATTAATAGTAACCTAAAGTTATTACAATACAATTGGATCATGCAAACATATGTAACACCGGTGAAATTGAACAAATATAATAACAGAATTCCAGATACATGTTTTAAATGTGGAGAAGCCCGTGGAACATTTTTCCATTTTGGATGATGCAGAATTGTTGTGCTGTGCTAGCTATTTCTTTTTCTTCCCTTTTTGTTTCCTTCAGTATGTATAAATGCCACATATTGTACTAATGTATGCACATTTCATGTGTTTTTATTTGATGTAGGTTTGGGAGAGCAGGGATGGGAGCTGAGGGGGTAAAAGTGTTCTATTTACTGCGGCATATTACTGAACAAACCTTTGTATGCTGTTGCAAAAAGCAATAAAAATTTATTTAAAAAAGAAAAGAAAGTAAATTGTAGTGTGAGACTCGTGTTTCTCACACTGCTTTGTGGTGACTTTGAAACTAACCAAGGTTCAAAAAGAATATTAAAGTATTTCAGGCAAGTTGATTGTCTTGTGTCAGTAATTTTAGGTGCTTACTGTCAGAATTTTCTCAAAAGAAAGAAAATTAAGTGTTGAAAGTGTCTGTTTGTTTTTCAAGTATTGGAAACTTGCTTTTTCTAAAAAAAAAAGTTCATTTGGATTTGGTACATGTCACACTGGGAATATTTTTTAGGGTTTTCCAGCTTTAATATCTGTCAAAACATTCACCTGATGTGGCCTGTTTTAAAGATATTTTGTATTTGAGAAGCTGGAAATAAAATATCACTCCCACACCTGCAAAACTGTGGTTTCTACAGGCCTCGAGACCTTCACATATTTATTTGTTTCAGGCATCCATCGGTCTGAGTGAGCTTGAGGTCACTCAGACAGTGCATGCTCTGCTCGAGCTGTAGAGCTGCTTCAAATCCAGAAAAGGCCAGATGCAGTTTATAAATCGTTGAAGCTGTCATCCTTAACCCCTCAGATATCAGCTGAAATGTGATGACCTTGTGAGACAGAGGAAAGACTTGCTGACTCAGCGCAGCACACTGGAGCAGGAGAACAGAGACACGATCGCGTACCTGAAGCGTTCCCTGTTGGAGAAGGAGGACGAGGTGGGCGAGCTGTCGCAGCGGCTGCAGAACCAGCTGCAGGCTTCAGATCAGGAAAGAGACGCCCTGCAGCTGCGGCACAGCCGGGAGAGGCAGGAGCTACAGAACCGCATCGATGAGCTTATCAAAGAAAACACAGCACTCGGTAAAAGTTCAGCTCTTAGCATGTAGCCCACCAGAGTTTACCACAGGGTATCCACGTAAACATCAAAGTGATGGTAGGGATTCGATTTTTAAAATAATAATAAGGATTTTTTTTTAAATAAAAGATGAAATTTCTGGATCTTCCTCCCTTTGTGAACATATGCTTTCACAATCATTACAAAATATCACTCCATTCTTTTGTTTGAAAGTTTTACGTGTAACTAATTTTAATGGCATCTGGTCAAACGACTGGTATGAGTTCAGTTTATACAGAGACATATTTTCCTCAATAATCAATTATTTGAATAAATAAATCTTTGATTTTATACATTTCAGATGGATTTTACTCCAAAGTATTTGTTCATATTTATGAGGGTGGTGTGTGTCCCTGTCTGTGTAGCATTAATAAAGCTCTGTGGGGGAATCTTAATGATTACATTATTTGGAATCTCGTGATATTTTAAATATGTTAAATTAAATATGTCTTTGCATTTCAGGAGAATATACATTTTCCATTTAACTTTCTGAAGCCTGTTCTTAAACATTAGTTTAATGTTGTATCATACCATGAAGTGTCTGCCACAAGAATTCAAATGTGGGAACTCAAAAGTTTTCCTTCCAATTAAAGCCTTTTTGTTTTTTCTCAAATATAGAAATTAATAATACTAAAATTTAAAAAAAGGTTTTACTTTTGGAAAGGCTGAAAAGAGCTGACAGTGATTTGCTGGAAGAGGCCTCGATCAGCCTCTCCCTGCCAAAGATGTTAAAAGGAGCTCAGCTTTATAGTATTCCTATATTTATAGTATTCCTTGAAAATCCAGCCCAGATTTCTTTTGGATGCAAGTGTTTCCAGCAGGAACCATTAAACTTTCAGGAGGTTTATTTCAGCAAAGACTGGCTTCAGGGAATGATTTAAACTCTCCTCTTCTCTCCTCTAGCAGAGAGGTTTGCAAGCCTGGAGGCGTTTCAGGGGCAAAAGGAGGAGATGATGTCCAGCTTAGAGTCTCTGGAGAAGCAGCTGGCAAGTCAGAAGGAAGAGCACAAGGATGACATTCACAGCCTGGAGATGAAAGCGCTGCTGGAAAAGAGGAGGTGGAATCCACTTTTAGTACATAAAAATCACAGCACAGACTCGTTCCATTACCCGGGTCGAGTCCACTCGTAGAAACTAGTTTAAGTTCAGACTGTAAACAAATCCGTGTCATCGCAGCAACTCGCAGCTTGTCTTCAGGACGACATGTTAATCCTGCCTCTGTAGCACGAATGTTTTTTCCTTTATGTCATCCTCGTCCCACCAAGGGTCGTGTTCCTTTGAAGCTCTGAACCTGCAGGCATAAATTTAAGGGCATAAAATAAGTTTTCTCTCACCCCAACCAATCACAGCAGATGGCCCCGCCCCTCCCTGAGCCTGGTTCTGCTGGAGGTTTCTTCCTGTTAAAAGGGAGTTTTTCCTTCCCACTGTCGCCAAAGTGCTGCTCATAGGGGGTCATATGATTGTTGGGTTTTTCTCTGCATATCTATGAAGCGCCTTGAGGCGACTTTTGTTGTGATTTGGCGCTATATAAATAAAATTGAATTGAATAAAATGGCTAATATATGAGAACACTCACCTTATCTACTGCACAGCAAATACACAAATATCGTCAGTGTCTCCTCACAAGGCTGCATACCTGAATTATCCACCTAAAATACCCTCTGACTTTACCTCCTTTGTCTTGTGTCCTGCCAAAGATTGGAGAGGGAGATGGAGTCTCACGCTGCAGCCATGGCAGCAGAGGTGCAGCTCCTGGTGGACCAGAAAGTCCCGGAGACGACCAGGCTGGCGCTGCAGGAGAACGCGGAGGTGAAAGCTTGCGTGGGGCAGCTGTCGGAGCAGGTGCAGATCCTGATGGAGGAGAATGCCGCCCTGCGGGGCTGCAAGAGTCAGCTCAGCACGGATGTGGAAAGCCTGGAAGAAATGCTCAGAGAGACGTCACGCACCAGCTGCGTCCGTAAGAAGGTAAGAGAAGGAATTCTTAATGTCTTTAAGTTTAACTTAATATTTTAAATGCAGTGTAACCACAGTCATGCTTCACTGTCCACTCAGATTACAGTGGCTTCAAATAATCCACGTTTTATTTAGTCAAATCAAGGTTACTGAAAAGTGGACCAGCATTAGACAGTGTGCTCCCACTGCCAGTCCCTTTCATCGTGTTTAACGCCAACATTTTCTTAACATGACAAACAAGGGATTCACTCTAAATCCATACCCAACTCTCTCCATCAGGTGGTGGAGCAGCTCACAGAGAAGTGCCAGCAGCTGCAGGCGGAGCAGAAGGACTGCAGGCAGCAGCTCGAGCAGCTTCAGACCGAACACGCAGGAGCCCTGGGCAAGATGGAGGCGCTGAGGTCAAAGTTCACTCTGCCGTCCGTACAGATGAGTCTCACTCAGGTTCACGTTCATGTTAATGAAAGCAAAGCAGCAGGTGCAGTTATTACACATACGGGCTCGTAGTCTCATTTGTGGTACGTTTATATGCAAGCGATAACTCCACAGTGAGATTCATCAATAATAAGTAATCAAATAAATCAATAACAACAGAGACACAAAAGAGACAGACAGGAAACATAAAAGCACTGAATCCTGTTACTGGTAGCAGCTGATGGCTGGATCATGATGATGAGGCCTCCCTGAACGAGACAAGAAAACACCCACAGTACTTTATAGTTTATTCCTTTTTTACTTATGATTGCTGGAAAATTCATGTATTAATATTTAAAAATAGAAAAATATTTGTGCACTCATTTTTGTTTTACTTCAATACAAAGACATAAACTAGTATTTTACATTAGTGCAGCAGAAATACAGAAATTTGCCAGCTGAACTTTAGAAATTAAATGAGCTTATGTGTTTTTAAAGATACAGAAACGGCCTTGGTGGCTTACTGAATGTAATAAAAACAGCACAGCAGATCCCCAAAGACATTAAAGTGGCTCAGTATAGCAGAGGGAGGCACAGAGCAGAGCGCAGTGCAAAGAAGAGCTGTCATTTAACACTGACACGAAGGTTGATGGTTTATTTGAAATGACAGAGACTGTGAGTACACTGCTAACGTTACAGTTACTTTATGTGTTTAATGTTAGCTGCTGCAAACATTTTGATTGATTCCACATCCACACTGTGCTGTCTCACACAAAAATGTGCATCTCAGGGGATCATGAACTCGTGCAGCACGAATTCTGGATGCAGGTCTTTGAGCTGTGTCGTTTTTCCTGTGCTTGTGCACTTCCTTCTTCTGATTCAGCTGTAAGGACAGACTTGAACACTTGTCCCTTCACCTCAGTACAAACACTACAGAACAGAAACAACATTGATGGCGTTTTCAGGATTTTAAGTGTTCGTCCTGGTGACATCTGCACTACTCTCTTACAAGTGTGATTTTGCTTGAAGCATCTGAGCTGCCACAGGAAACAGAGCCTGCTGATCTCAGCCCAGGTACCTGTTCTCCTCCAACACATCAGGGACATAAGACACTCATCTGAAGTGCTGTTTTTGCGTTAAACTGTTGGTTAGCATGCGAGGAAAGAAGGTTGCTAGCCCAGACTATTGACTAATAAATTAGTCTCCATCAGATGTTATCGTTTGCTTGTTTAGATCTTCATTTTATTGTAAAAAGGTAAAATCAGTGCTACAGTAAAGATAAACCGAGAACCTCCCCACGCTGTCTCGTTTCTCATATTTTATTAAATCATGTTTCACTTCAGCCGACCTTCATCAGGTACAAAAACCAGTGTTTTCAAAATGTTCACTCCCATCCACCCGGCAGAATTCCAATTAGGGAATATTGGATGTTGAAACACTTGACACGCTGTTAATCAGATGATGGCACATTATAATAAAAACACAGGAACAGACTCACTAACAGGAAGAAGGATGAAGGATATCTGCTTCCATCGGTGGGGTGAGTGGGGTCTGCTGTGGGCTAATACTGCAGCTACTGCTGCACAGGCTCTGATAATGTGGTTCTCAGAAGGAATAACTAAGCGTTTAAAAGGGAGGCCTGTTGGGTGGAGAATGTTTTTCCTTGACTCAGCTTATTGTCATCATGCTTGCTTAGTTCAGACACAACCAAACTTGGTGTGTGGGTGTGCGCCGTGTCTCCCAGAGCTGGAAGATAAAGCGTGTTTCTGCAGACAAGGCTGCGTTTAATATGTCGGCTGTTAGATCACTCCTGTGCTCCTGTAAACGGCAGCGTGCATGTGTCAGGCCGCGGCCTTGATGTCTGCTGAGGCTCGTTCACATCTTATCAGCAAGTTTTTGGACAATGACCATTTTTGTAGCTTTGGCTCTGTGTGCATGTCAACTGAAACTGCCAAGAAGTGAACACTTTCAGCTTGGCTTCAACAACTGCATCAACCGTTTCAGGATTATAAACACTTTTATACACAACTCCATCATCAGAGGCTCAGGAAGTGGCAGATAAAAAACGTTTTTTATCTGCACATGAAAACATGAAAACTTGATGTTGATGGAAGTGAAGTTGGCCGTCGTTAGACTGGAAATAAAGGCTCGTAATAAAGAGATGCGATGCAAGGTGCAGGTGACTGCTGGTTTTCTTTGTTGTTTTGGTGTAAAATCATGTTTCTGATCTGGAGTTTTGCTCATTTGGAGTTCAAATGATGAGGAAGAGAAAACATCTGTGTCCTGTGACAGTTTGGTTTGGACCACGGTTCACAGCCATGGTTCTGGTTCATCCCTTCAGGTGCACGGGGGTGCAGCGGTTACTACTGTGGCCTCACATCAGGAAGGTCCTGATTCCAAATCCACTGCCCGGCCGAGACCTTTACAGACTTGTATGTCTGCTCACTCTTCTACAGTTCCCTTCTTCCTCCCACAGTCCAAAGACACGTTAAACTTAGTGGTTCTGAACTGGTCATAGGTGTGACTCGT